AATGTTCACATAAGATAATCAAATAGCATTGATATTGGAGGAATGGTTATCTACAAGACATTTTTTATATCTTGGATTTATATTCTCGAAAGAAATTAAATGGGATGGCAACCTTTAATAGATTTCCATCAGGAATTTGCTTTGGGGCTATTTTGTTGAGAAATATATCGATGGAATAATTTATGCAATATTATTAGGGAAATTATCCACCTCGATGAATCTCATATATAATATGTAAAATAAAAAATTAGACATTTTTTATAGGTTTACTTATCTTACTATTATGTATAAATGATTTATCTATTATTATCAAGGAGACAAGAAATAGTTATCGCCTGAATGGCATTTGAAGTGAAGGAGGAGGATTAGAGTTATGAAGCTAAAGATTTTTCATATATATGCATATGATGCTTTTTTGCAATGTTCTTAGGGACATGATATTTGCCTCTATGTTTTTCTATGTAAGATTATATAGATTTAAGTATGAATACTAATGCAAACTTTTTGTTAATTTTTAACTTAGTATTGATCATTCTCAATTCAAGAAAGCACATTATTAAATTAATTTGTTACTTTTGATATGTGAATTCTGAAGTTCTTTTGCATGAAATCATATTAAGCATCATATTAAGTATTCGTTTGGGATAGCTTTAGACCAATGCTTTTAAGAGAATTGTGTACTAAAAAGCAACTTTACAAAGCAATAAGGTAAGGAGAGAAGCTCACAAAGATTTAGAGAATTTACAGACTATATTATGATTAATTATACAAGAGAGTGAATAGATTTACCTCTAGGTACTAAATCTATAGGATGCACATTGATATTCAAGAAAGGAACAAACTATAATTGATAAATTTAAAGCTTCACTAATGGAAAAAGGATAAACTTAAAAGAATGATTTAAATTATTTTTATACACAGGCTTCGTTTGGGATGGTTTTCTTACTGCTTCTTAAAATATTTTTTTAGCACAAAAATTTTAATTTAAGAAATTTCTTACTGCTTCTGCAGAAAACTGCTTTAAGAAGTAGCAAAAAATCCGTCCCAAATAAAACCTTAGTTTGTAGTTGTTAGAATTATCTCCATAAGTTTTAATGTCATTCTAGCTTTAATTTCTGCAATAAATATGAAGATAACATTTCTAAATGATGATTTGAAAGAATATATTTAAATGAAGCCACTATAATATTTTATCGCAAAATGAGAAAAAAAACATGCAAATTAATTAATCTCTTATATGGGCTTAAACAATCTCCAAAATAATGGCATAAAAAACATATGATCTTCCATGACTAAAAGTCCAATGATGTGGATTCATATATTTATCAAATTTAGTAAGCTAAAATAGGTCATGAATATTTATCTATAAAATAATGCTATGCTAATATATTAGGCATAATTATTTTGAAATGCGAAAGCCCTTATATTAACTCAAGCAAACTCCAAAATATTGTCATAAGAAAACCTCATAACAATATGATCTTCAATTATTATAAGGTTAATAAAGCACATTCATATATTTATTATGACTTTAATTAGAAAAATTATAATATAATTATTTATCTCTATATTAATGATATGCTTATTTTAGGCATTAATATCTAAAAATGATAATTTTATCAAGCTCTTTGTTGGCCATGATCTCAAATAGACTTTAGTGGCCCTACTCTTAGCATAATACTTGAACCTAATTAACTAAGCTAGTTCATCCCTAACCTAGACCTAATCTGGTCAACTATAGTCTAATTTTAATCCTAAATTGGGCCTACAATTACAATTGACTTATTCTTTGCTTGGTGGGCTTAAAGTTCCCTTCTCAGAGGCCCTAGATTAAGTGGCTCAACTCTAATCTAAACTATATTTGACCCTAGCCCAACTTTAATGTGACTTAATAGTGTTTATCCTAATTGGACTTAACTCATTTTAGATGAAACAAACCCTAAACTAATTAGACTTGACCTCATCTTGAGTCAATATGGCCATATGTGCTAAACAAAATCATCTCTCTTCCCAATTGACCTTTGGTTGACCCAATTACATTATGAATGAACTTCAGATGTCTTAAAGATCTAAGGACCTTACGTGTTTGATATATATTAGATTTGATCAAGATCAAATCTAGATTGAACCTACCCTAAACTTAGTTAGTTATTAAGCCCAATTGTAGCCTTATTAAGTTATTAAGCCCAATTTACTTGACTCCAACTAGTTTGACTTTCACCCCATCTCCTTTTGAGTGTATAGACTTAATGGGACATTTAGATTCACTAGGTTAAGCCTTAGGTTGCATGGACCTATCCAATACCTAAGTTGAACTAATAATTAACCCATTTAATCCTATTTGTGAACCAATAGATGACCTAGACATCCCTAAGGCCTCCCTTTGACTCTTAGGCATTTACTAGTTATATGGATAACCTAAGTTAATTCATTACTACTTCAATTGAGCATAATATGAACTCATCCACTCAATTAGCTTAGACTATATTAAATAAAACCATAAAATAGTTCCGATTAGAATTTAGGTGAGTATAAACACATTTAAAAGGTTGTTAGGCTACTTTGGTCTAAGCAATTTGGTAGGTAGCCCAAGTGAAATCCAAATTGACCTATTAGGGCTCTTTAGATCAAATTTCTTTATTCAAGTTAACTAATTGCTTAGACTATCATGCCCTAGAATCAAATTTGAAAGAATTAACTATTTTAATAACCCAAAGATATGAAAAACATTTGGTAAATAAAAAATATGAATTTTTGAATGCCTATTTGAACTAGAGCTCTTTATTCTATTTTTAATAATTTTGATCTCTACAATTTTTATCTCTCCTAAATTTATTAAAAATATATTATCTTATGATTTTATAAGCTTTCACCGCATAAATTTTGATATGTTATAGATTTGATCATTTTGAATAATATGATATAATTTTATTGCATTTTTATTGGTTAGAAACATATATATGAATATTTCTGCAACATGAGTATGGAAAATATATATTTAAAAAGGGCTGAAAGCGATATATTATGATTTGATATGATACTACTTGAATGTAATATATGTTGAAATGATTAATATGACTGATATGTAGTTTAATGTGATATTATTCTAACTGAAAGGATATTCTCATTAATATCATATATTTGAAATGATAACGCAACGTTATAACCCCAAGATTCACTGATTCACTAATGGGAGTCATAAAGAGTTGGAGACTGATTTGGAGTTCTAAGGAGTTGGGATGATTGATCCATGTGATCTAAGCGGAGTTATAAAGAGTGTATTGATTGAAAGTCATAAAGGGTGACTCATCAGGTGTCATAAGGATAAAAGCAAGATCAAGATACCCTCAATTAAATATTTTATATAGAGATATTGATTAATGATACTGATATTAATTACTAATTATTGATATTGATTATTAATATTGATTACTGAATACTGATGCTGGTTATTGTTTATTGATACTATAAGGATATTGATACCGAGACAGTGATTTGTGTTACTGGTTATTATTTTGAAGTACGAATATTGATTCTACGGTTATAATTTATGGACTGATGTAAAGGATTGAATGATATGATTGAATGATAAAGATATAATAATTGATTAATTGAGAGAACAAGATAGGATGTGTAACATAACTGATGAATTGACACTGGCGATTGATATCGATAGCATGTATTAATTTATAGATTTCCATATATGATTATGTGCATATTATTTTTCTTTTTCCATTCTATTAATTTCAGTAGTAATGTTTGGATTACTGGCTGGGCTTTTATGTTTATTACATGATTTTAGATGATTTCTTGTAAAGGTAATGAGCCTGCATCTTGAAGCTTGGCAGTGATATTAATGTAGTTTTATTTCAGTTTCTTTGATTTATGTATTCTTTTGTAGCCAATGGTGGCTATTGTACATATTGTTTTGAACTCTTGATATAAAATGTAAACATTGACTAAAAAAATATGAATTATATTTGTTGGGATTTCATTAATGCAATTAATCATCTTTAGATGCTAAATTGATCTGGTTGTGAATGAATATTTGTTGTTAATGAGAATTGAAAAAATAGAAAGAGAATAAAAATGAAATTATTACACTTTAGAACATGGGGCATGACATTGGCTCACCACCCATCTCATATATAATGTCCCTAAGAGACCTAGGAGCCCATTGGACTTATCATGGATCCAAGCAGAGCTTGGGTTAGCCTAATTTAATTGAGTTAATTGGGCTCAATTGACAAGATTGACTTAAAGTTAGCCTTTTTAATGTAACTTAACCCCTCTTTTCTTGGCCCATTAGCTAACCTTGACCCTTTTATATCAAACTAATTATAGATTGCTTAGTTTTAGAATTTTTTTTTATTTGGTTAAAATGTTAAATATAATTAGAATCTTAAACACCAAAGGCATCTTAAGCTCCTTAGTTCCTAATCTAGCCTAATGAATCTTTCCTTTAACCCTAAGCATTAGCTCAAAGTTTTTTAGCTTGATTACAATTGGAATTATTATAGGTCAAACCCTTGGAATCTCTCCATGATTCTAAAACTAGTGGGAGGATATTTTAGAATGATAATGCTAATTAAAACAAAAGGGTGATCCTCAATCATAGGAGAATTTATCATTGAGTTTGTAATTATGCGAGGAGTCTCTTAGAGTGCTCCCAACCCCTTCCAGCCAATATTGTGAGTCACCATAACCAATGGGAAAAATGCAATGTTAATTGCGCTGATATATATATATATATATATATATATATAAATTGAAGCAAATCAATTTCAAGAAGATTAAATTTTAAAATATGAGTTTTTATTTCTTTGGCCATTGCAACCATCAAATGGCGTGTTCTAGTTTCTTCTTCATAAATCCTTTTTTTTTTCGTAAAAGATGGCTTATTTTTCATTTGCTTCTTATGAATGTGGAATGACAATATGCTTGAAAAAAAATCCAAATTTTCCCTCAGAAACAATATGACAGCGCTTCCAAGTTAGTGCTTAATACCTAGCTTTGATGTAGGATGCGTATAAATGTTTGAAATGTTGCTTATATTTCTTACCATAGGAGAGCACCATAACCATGTCGCTATCTATTACTGTTGGAACTCTGTGAGCTATTGTTATCACTGTACAGCTGGAGAACTCTTTCCTGATAACCTTTTGGAGTATGGCATCCGTGGCTGAATCAATAGATGCAGTTGCTTCATCCAAAACTAGAATTTTGTTTTTACGAAGGACAACTCTGCCGAGACAGAAGAGCTGGCGCTGCCCAATGCTCCAATTTTCACCGTCATCGCTCACTTTAAAAACCAAGATACTGTGAGTTTTATCAATTTTAAATGTGATTTAAATTAAATTATATTGAACCAACCTGTTGAATCAAGAAGGGCTGGAAGTTTACTTATAGTAGACTTAAGCTGACACTTTTCTAAAGCCTGAAATTATTGAACAGACCAAAAATAAAAATGAAGTATTAGAGTAGCAAAGGATCAAAATGAAAATAATGTGTAAATTGCTAAAAGAGAAGTTGGAGAGCCCAATGACTGGAGCTTCACTTGCTGTCTTGTCTATATATGATGAACTAGTTGTAAATCCTCTAATTTACCATATTGATCCTATCAAATGAGATGCAACCCATTACTTCTAAACACAGACGAAGGTCATCCCTCCATATTGTTTAACAAAGGTCATTGATTGCATCTCACCTCCCATATGTCAAGATCAGTGTGCATTCCAAGAGGATCCAAGTTGCTTCTGACACTGCCCCTAAAGAGGGTAGGCTCTTGAGGAATTATGCTGAGCTTCATTCGCAGATCTTTTAGACCTATGGAGCAAATGTCCAGATTGTCAATAAGGATGGTTCCACTAGAAGGCTCCACCAGTCGAAATAGAGCACTTATAAGAGTTGTTTTCCCGCTTCCTGTTCTTCCAACCACACCCACTTTGTATCCTTCCTTCAAGGTGCAAGTGATGCCTTTAAGAACAAAGGGAGCAGTTGGGCGATATTTTATCTGCAATCATATGAGAGAAGTCAATTGTGAGAAGTTGGTATTATGATGACTAGGTAATAACATGTTAGACCGGTCAATTGGACTGGCCCAGGCACAAACAGAGGCGGAACCCTCCGCCTCCTATACGTCTGACTCGACGCCCAAGCAATGTAGAGCAGTTTAGAAATGTTTTTCGAGGGAGTTATGAGGGAAATTTGAATGTAGGGACTGTTTAGAGATTTCCTTTTGGATTGTATGCATTAAATAGTTTGTTTTCCTAGGATTAGGGCATCTTGAATTTTGCTGAAATTTGGGATCTCTTAGGTTTAGGTTTCTTTGGGGATCTAGCGGTGTCTAGAGATTTTGGAGAGATAGATCCTCCTCTTAAATAGAGGATCAGTTATATCTTGCTTTATTTCTTCCGTTATTTTGATTTCTTCAATAAAATATACTATTTTGTTGTTTTTACCGTTGGATTTACAAAGAAAATTGCTGTTTTTGCCTCTATTGATAGGATTTACTTGAAATCTTCAAGTGTTTCCTATCATAAGAACACTAAAAAAATCAGATAAATACTTTCTCAATCCTCACCTTGAGATCTTGCAAATCAATCCTTCCTTGCTGTGGCCATGATGGTGATGGCCTGTTCTCATAAATGATAGCTGGCGGTTCTGATGGAATATGCATGAATTGTTTGATTCTCTCCACGGAGATGACATAATTTTCGATATTGGAGTACCACCGAGTTGTAAACACTTGAGCTGAAGATAGTGTGAGAGCATAGGAAAGGCAAAGACCGGAGAACCCTGTGCCATTTTTGAGTTAATTAGCTTTCTCTTGGGAAGAAAAAGACATGGTTATTAGGGGAAAGAAAAGAAGTAACACGATTTACTATCAATGAACCTGGGGCAATGGCTCCCTGAGGAAGTAAAACGAGGAATATAGTAGAGGTAAGTACTGTCAAACTTTGAAGTGCTTCCACTCTCAGTAGCACCCATTCCATGGCAGCAACAGTGTGGAAAAACAGTTTTGCATCTGTATCAATAAGTTTTAAATTTGTATGGAAGAACCTTTCGGCTACCCCAAAAGCTCTAATCGTTACAACTCCAAGCAAAGATTCTCCAGCATAATTCATGACGGGTGCTTTTGTGGTCCCATTGATCCTCACCAATTCCCTTGCTGATGCTAGATAATAATTCTTCAAGATTCGGCAATGATCAATGACACAATCGGCATTAGATATATTGTTTAGTTTCAGTAAATATAAAAATGTTAAAGACAGTCTGGTATTGAGATTCACCTGAACCCAAATCGTCATGATTAACGCTGGAATTGCTACAACCAGAACTTGCCAAGTCACTGTTGCTATTATCACTGTTGTTGTCACAACTTCAATTGCACCTATCAGCACAAACGAAATAGAATACGGTATATCAAAGTCGACGATACTCAAATCTGAAGATGCCTGCATAGATGATTGATGATTTTATTAGTCATTGAATTTGAAGATCTGAGATGAATGTGTGATGATGAGAAAACTTAACCCGAGTTAAGATCCTTCCTAATGGGGTAGAATCAAAAAATGCCATGGGAGCCTTGAACACAGAATCCATGAAACTAGAAAAAAATTCTTTGGATGCTTTCAGTCCAAGATGTGCTGTTAACACGCTTCTAACACATAAGAAGACACAGCTAACGAAGGAAATTGCTGAAAAAACTCCAACTAACATTCCATCACTTTTATGACGAATCTGGATGGCTACAGCCAACCAATAATTTGATAGACCCTGAAGAAAAATAAAAATTGATTGAAAGTTGATCATTAAAGCAAGTAGAAATGATCCCTTTGAAATCTGGATGTAATCTTTGTATGGCTTCCAACCAGCATTCCCTATCTCCATTTCCTCATCTTCTGTAAGCTGCACTGCTGATATACTAGTGACTGTGATCTCTCCTTCGCTGTTGTGTTTCGTAGGCTGCAACCTGTTTAATTGTAGGTGATCTACTGCTATAGTTGTTTTTCTGTTTTCATTATCTGTAGAATTTATTGTTGTAATTGAAGACTGATGTGCTGTAACTAGCTGCTCAAATGCTGTTCCTGATTTTAGAAGTTCTTCATATCTTCCTGTTTGTATAATTGTTCCTCCTTCCATAACCTAGAGAAAGAAGCCAAAATTATCATATCTACTTGTTATGTAGTTTAGTTTGTGAAAGAACTCTGCTTACCAGGATCCTGTCCGTTTGAGGAAGAAATTCTACTTGATGAGTTACTAGAATGACAGTCTTCTTTTCTAGGGCAGTCATGACACAATCCTGCAATTTATGCAAATGAAATCCCAATTCGTATTAATAAGTAAGCTAGTTTTGGAGGTTTTCAAAACATCTAAATTGTGTTTGAATAAAGATCTTTCATGAACTACTTTATACATTACTGTGAAAAAAAGCTTGCAACATTCTGCCAACTTACTCATATAAAGATAAATGAATGTATGAAGTTATAATGTCAAGCATCAATAAATTATGTTCTTTGTTTCCGTCAGTTTTTCATAAATTATCCTCGTAGCAACACTTTTCATATATAGAAAAAATTTGAATAGGCCTAATAGACAGGAGCTGATGGAACCTATCCAACTCAAGAAGTTTTGGGTATCATTATAGATTTTGTCCAGCCAATCCCATTATGTTCGATTCATTATAGATTTTGTCCAGCCAATCCCATTATGTTCGCTTGGCTACTTGACAAATCCAATAGATTACAAGTACCAAAATTTTATTATTTCACATCCATCTAGGGACATCTTCCCACTGATGTCCTTCTCAACTAAGCTTTTTGAGTTTTTGTTACTTACATGAAAGAGAATTGATGCTGTATGTGCATCAACGGCACTGAAGGGGTCATCTAGTAGATAAATATCGGCATCATAGTAGACAGCTCTAGCCAATTGAATTCGCTGTTTTTGTCCTCCACTCATGTTTAGTCCTCTTTGTCCTATCTCTGTAAGGTCTCTATGATCGAAATTCTCAATATCCTTCTCCAGTGCACAGCATCTGATAGCCTCCTGGTATGCTTTCTTGTTCATTGGCTTACCATAGAGTATGTTGTCACGCAGTGTTCCACTCTGAATCCAAGATGTTTGTGAAACATAGGCAATGGAACCATTCAAATCAACCTGAATATAGCTAAAATCTTGTTAGTGTTATCAAAGTGGTTATTGTCACCCCTAAAGAAATTTATTTTCATTGGAAAGTTTAAGAACTTACTGATCCACTGATTTTAGGTATCTCCCCTAGCAGAGCATATAATAGTGATGATTTTCCAGAGCCAACTGATCCACAAACAGCAATCTTTTGCCCTTTCTTTATCTGCAAGTTTATGTTCCTTAATGTAGGAGCAATTGAAGTCTGTTCCCAACTAAAGACGCCATTGCTCACTTCAGCAACAAGATTCAAATTTTGTAGGGAGCCTCTCTTCTCATTTTCTTCTTTAATTTCATCCTCTTGCAGAAAATTATCAATTCGGTCTAAGGAAACCTTCACTTGGATCAATACAGATAGAACCTCAGGAAGCATCCTTACTGGCTCAGCCATAACTCTAAGAGTTGCTAGAACCGTGAAGATGGTACCTGCATTTAGAGGAGCAGTTCTCATGATTGCTGTCCCAGCAAAAATCACTCCAGAAACAACTGTGGGTGATATCCAATATAGTGCTGCTCCGCATGACTTTGTCAACTGAGTTTTTCTCAACCATTTAAATTCAACACCTCTCAGTGTTTCAATTGTATTTCTGAAATTTTCTTCCCATGACTGTAATTTTATAATCTTCATATTGTTCAGGACTTCAGATGTAGCTCTTAGTCTCTCGTCTTGAGCAACCATGAACTGTGACTGAAAGTGCTGCAACATCTTTGCAACAGGAACGTTCATGAAGCCAAAAATAACCAAAGGGACGATACCTGGAAGGGCTCCCATACCTACAGTTCCAAAAAGTATGGCTACTGAAAAGAGGAGTTGGAGAGGAAGGCTCCATGCCATGTGAAACCACCATGGAAAATCCCCAAGTCTATATGCATCTACAGCAATGTAGTTGACAATCTCACCTGTAGAATGTCTTAACCTTCCCTGGCTTGAAATCTTAAGCTCCTTCTGGTAAAGGGCTGCCATTAGTGCAGATCTCATCCTCATTCCATACCTTCTTGAATCGAAGAACCAATGCCTCTGCGATAAAGATTCGACCACCTTGACTATTAGCAAGCATCCTACTAAAGCCAGGCCCTTGTTTAGTTCTTTGTGCTCAAGGTTTGAGTACCACACAAATGCATATAGGATCAAAGGAGAAACTGCAATGGAGATTGATTTCAGAAGTGCATAAAATCCGACTAATAACATTTCCTTCTTGTAACATTTTGCCAATGCCAAAAGGACCAAGTTCCTCGTCCTCTTTTTACTGCTCCTGAGAAGATCCCATTCTCTGGTGAAAATATTATAAGCATGAACTGCTTCATCTTCAGCGTCCAATGATGGGATGTCTTTGAGCTCTAATGTTTTTGAATGGCCCAAACGAAGTAAGGGATTTAGCCAAGAAAAGATTAGGCGGCTAAAGAAACCAGCTCCACCAAGATTTGAACTGCCATTAACTTCTTCCAGTAAGGCCTGGGATAAACTTTCGTTTGCATGTTTACCATCAATTTTACTTTTGATGATTAGTTTCAGAGCATAGTAGAGCAGCAGCAAGTTTACAAACCATTGTGTGATATCAAGTATTGGAAGGCTATGATTTTTAACAAGATCCTTTACATTAAAGGCTGTAATAAGAAGCGCAAATGATGACCACCAGATCAGATGAATGGCTTTCAACCAATTATTAGGATTAGCATTTACAGATACTGACAAAACAACCCAGATTACTCCCCTTATAGAGAGAATTACCACCTGATCCCAGAGAATATATTTGCTTTCCTTGAACAAAATCCAGCCAGTTCTACTAAAGTAAGCGACACCAATGACTATGCAGAGGATTGAAATACTAATGGAATCCCAGCTCCTTATTCTATTCTTATTTATGATATTATGCCTTTTGCATGCTGATATCAGCAAAGCCAGCAAAAAATTCAGTAGAAAGAGAAGGTTAAGAACATCTATTAATAGTCTCTGCGTGCAGGAGGAACCCAAGTCAAAGCTCTCTCCTGAACACATCGAAGGGAACCAACCTGCAACTCAAATTCAAGTGAAGATTCACATTAAATGCCAGAGTAAATACAACAAGCTCAAAAAGGTGATGGTGATAAAAAACAGAATAAATTAAATGAAGAACATCAAACTTTTAGTCCTGAGCTTATACCAGGGTAAGAAAAAGTGAAAACTGTCGAAGAGAAGGAGATGAAACTGCCACCCTGAAAGCTCCAAAGAGCAGCCATTTTTTTTTTTTTTTCCTCTGGTGATGCCTTCCCTATTTTGCTTGCCAAGTCTAAGTTGGTCTCTTGCAGTTCCTTGCTCAAAGGCTCTTCAAAAAAGCTAGAGAGACGGCAATGGTTACAAATGAGTAAGCCAAAGATAGCTCCTTGCGACTTATATTGTTCTTTTTCAGTCTTCCTTTAATTTTTTTCTCTTCAATTTCACCTGATACTGTGCATCAAAGATGGGTCCATTATGTGATTGTGATAACTTAATTAAGGAAAGACGTTTTACTGGAGTGATTTCATTGATTGGCTCATACTGCTATCACCATAATTTCAGATAAATGCCAAAGGAATTCTATCACTACTGTACAAGCTTATCTTTTAAATCAACCGAACAGGCTATCTCAACTTATAGCTTAAGGCGCAAGCTTCCTACTGTAACTTGCTCAGCCTATCGTCACCTTACTAAAAACTTAGTAAGAAAACTGACATAAACGAAGCCTTAGAAATCATTTTGGATGATTATAACTTTTTATAAAGATGATGTTAAATAATTTTTTTTTTAAAGCTGTTGTTAAAAATAGTTTTTGGGTCAAATAAAAATTATGATTATGATCTGAAATACAAAATAATAAGAAAACTATTCTAATTGTAGTCTTAATAGATTTAAAATGTACCAGTTGATGGAGATGAAAAAAAAAAAAGAATTTATGAAACTGACCAAATAGTTGTTGGGACATTATGATGAACTATCATTGAGATTCCTTCATAATTTATGTCTCCTTTAACTCGAATTCTATTAAAGGTTTTGTTTGGCGCTGCTTTCCTTTGCATTTCATGCTGCAATCTCATTTACGTTCAGCTATTGTTTTCTTATTGCTTTCTTGTTGTTGTTTAGTTATTTTTAAAAAATTTTGTACTGAAAAATGTATTTTTACAATCAGATCTATTAATATGTAATAATTGTAAGAAAGTTATTGTCTGAATTTTAAAAAAAAAAAAGAATTTATATATCCATAAGAGCTTAAAAAAATATTTTTCCATTGCAGTTTTACTAACTACTTTTATAAATTGAATAAAATTTCAATAAAATTCTTAGCAATCATTATCAAAGCTCTATAATAGCTGTATCATTGAGATTTCTTCATAATTTATGTGTCTTTTTAACTCCAATTCTCTTTAAAGGCCTGTTCAGCTATTATTTTTTTCATACATTAATAATATGACAAACTTAAGTTACTATTTTGATTTTATATCTTAAATTAAAAAATGTAAAAGTAAAAAAAAATAAAAAGTATATTATTTAATGAAATTAAAAAAAAATCTAAACTTGGATATCCATAGGATATGACAAAATATAAAATATAATTAAAGCCGATCTCGTTGTCCACGAGAATTATTATTGTAGGTTCGTAAGCTCTGAAGTCATGGCACAATAATAATAATAATAATAAATCTTTTTAATTCATGAGCAGATTTTTTTTATTCTATTTAAATTATCACACATTTTTTTAAAACAAGTCGTGTCTGAGTTGATTTTCCTGTTAAATAATGACAGGAAAATACCATTTCAACCTTTTATTCTATGCTAAAAAATTCAAAAAATTATTAAAATTTTCTTGTCTTCTAATTAGGTTGAACATTCCAAGTGATCTTTGCATGACAAATGCATTTTGTTTACGATTCATGTTTTTTAAATAATTAATTAATTAATTAATTTTTAAGTTAGATAGATTCATATTTTAAATTATTTAAATATTTTCTTTTTAAAAATAATTAAAATTAAGAAAATTTGGTTTCATCCAATGATAAATTTGAAATTTTCATGAGGATTATATATATAAATATATATACTTCAAAATATTTAAAATTAGAGAAATATATATGCTGTTCTTTTTCTCGAGAAATTAAAATACATGTGAAAGTTTTATTTGGATTAAAATACCTTCGGTTTTGAATAAATAGAGTTGGAAATCTTATAGAATAGTTACACAATCTTAAATCATAAGAGCTTCTTCGTCCCATTTCTTGAAAGCAACTTATCCATTTCTAACAGTTGCAAACCTTGTGTGTTTAGGCTACAAAGAAATTTCATGGCGATTATTTTTCTCAATTAATGACTCGTAAAGGTTAGTAATTGTAATGCATGCTATCAGAGTTTAGGTAAATTTTTGTTAATCATCGTTAATTTTGATTTGATTAGAATATATAAGTCTTAGAATCTTTAAATGGGATTTTAGGTGTACGCTACAGTGCTAGGGAAGCACCGCCGTGGTGGCGGGAATGGTGCTGAGTCTCAGGTGAAGAGATTCTAAAAAAATCTGGAAGATTTTATGGGAGCACAATGACACTGGAAAACTGAGTGCCGTGATGGGTCAAGTTAGTGGATTTTAAATAATGCAATATCTAAAACCATTTGCACATTTTATTTTCACCCATCCTAATTAGTCAAAGGAGAGGAGGATAGCAGAGGAAAGAGGAGGAGGAAAGAGAGATTCAGACGTCGAAGATTTGGATTCATCAATATCGGCATGTTCGAGATATTGTAGAGCTCAAGGTCCCAAATCCCTGCCTAGCTCTGATTTTAGTTCCAGTAAGTTTATAAAAAGTTATGAATGAAAATATATTTTCTTAAGTTTTATAAATTTTTCTCCATGCAATTTGTAGTATGTTGTTGCACTCCTTATTATATATGAACATTTTTTACTATATGAAATTAAGATTTTAGCCGTTTATTTTTCCTATATGAATTTCTACGTATATTATTAAATTGGTACTTTTTTGGCAAATGTAGTAGTTATATAAAAGTTAAAATGTTCATATGAATATTCCTTGAAGTTAGAAATTAGAAGGGTAAAATTCAATAAGTATTATTTTTTACCGGTAATGTGGCAATTCATGCATCTTCTAAATAGTGCATTGAATATATCACATTTGCATTCTACATAACATGGAATTAGAGATGTTCCGATATATGAAAAAGTTTACTATCTATTATGTTACAAGGGACATGTATGTTTTATTATGGCACCATTTGTCTGGTGCGGATGTGGGAGAGATTCTTGCCCCATGTAATAATTCTACCGAAAAATCAATGATCATATATTGTTGTGGTCGATAAATTACTTGACTAGTATTATAAAGTAATGATCTCTACATACAACAAGTTGAAAAGAAAAAAGATTCTTTCAAGTGGCTTAAAGCTGCACTTCTAAAAATTGTAAGGATTTGGGTTGATGTATATGTATACATTTTTTTTTTTTTTTTTTAAAAAAACTTTTTTTGAAAAGAAACATATATTAATAATAATAATAAACGGTTACAATAAGAAAGAGCACGGAAATAAAAAGAAAATTATAAAGAAACCGCGGGCTCAGTTAGTGGTTGAGGCTTCCAGCACCACCACACTCCACCAGGACCGTCCAAAAGGTGGAGAATAAAAGCCGACCCTAAGCAACCCAAAACTTCCACAACAATGGTTGCCACCAGCGAAATACAATGGTGCGAGCACCAACCCATCATTGTCCATTCTACGACCTAACAACAAAACCATACGACAAAAAAAGAACAAAACCAAGACAGAGGATTAGCAGAAATCAATATCGCCTACGGCGACCCCTGCCTCTACCACGAGATCTACCCCGAGTTCCAACATAAGAAGTGGGTCTAACATTAACAAGAGTGAAATCACAACTCGGGTCAGACCCACCACAAAAATTCGGCGATGCCAAGTCAGCTCCATCAGAGAATTCGGAGTCAGGTTCACCCTCGGATGAATCCAACCAATTCAAATGATTCCTAATATCCAGTCCAGAGGAGTCGCCTAAAGAAGTGCCCACAAATCGCGTATCAACCAAATTAACGGGAACCTCAATGACATTATTAGAAACCATAGAGCGTTTTTGAGGCACACCCGAACAATTAACCGGAGGAAGATCCCCAGTTACAGGCTCACCCACAAAATTTTCCGGCAATACCTCAACACAATCAGACGGTAATATAGGAAGAAAGAACGGCACAACATTAGGAGATAAGGTAGAATTAATACCAAAATCCTTCTCCAGCCTTTCACCAACACTAGTAACACTCGTAGTACAAACAACTCCTTCCCACACAGCATCGACAGAAGAAGGGTGTAAAACATTAGCATTATTAAGATCCACACCAGCACAATTTGAAACATCAGCAATAGTAGAAACACCGCCCACAACCAAATCAGACAGCACACCCGCATCAGGAGAAACAACCCGACAATCAACATCAGGCAAAACCACACCCTCCACATCAGCAGACTGGCAATTAACAAGATTTTCACATTCTAAAGCATCTCGCTCGATTACAACATTACATAAATTCGCAGAATTATCAAAAACAGGAGCAGTAATCGGGTCTTCATTAGAAACAGGGATTGGAGGAATATCCACGGGGGCAGAGAAACCAACCGGGGTAGTTTTGGACGAAATTTTTGGACATTCTAATTTTTTATGACCTAAAGCTTTGCAGAAAGAACAAAAATTAGGCATGCCCTCAAAAATGACTTTCTGGGCATACCCAAACTTCTCCGGACCCAACCAAACAATATCAGAAAAAGATTTGGATACATCAATTTCAACAAGCACACGCGCAACTGATGGACGGGAACCAGTAGCCATAGCAGAATCAGTATGAATCGGCCTTCCAAAGACCGAACCCAACCCAAAAAGAATACGGGAGGAGAAAAGATGGGGACGTAATCCCGGAAAAGAAAGCCAAACAGGGACAATCGGAGATTCTTCCGACAAATCTAGAACCGGAGACCACTTTATCACTTTCATAAAACAGCCATAAACCAAGTAAGACCTGTGAGCAAAAACCCTAGCATAATCCATATCATTGGCAAGCTTGATTAAAACAATTAGCTTGATCGCACAAAGTCACGCGAAAATTCCAGATAACTTTTAAAATTCACGAAAACAAACTACGGATTGTATCTAAGAAGGAGTTTAAGGGAAATCTCCCACCAACGAAATTCAAAAGCTAGCTAGATGCAAAAAATTCTTCTTTCCGAAAACCACAGAGATGGCATTCCCGATTCGAAGAAATGCGAAATTCCGAAAAACATTCGAATCGACGAACCAGAAAGAGCATCCTTAAAGATTTAGTTGCTTACCGAAAGAAACACCAGGACCTCAAGCAATTTTTCGCCATTAAAAGCTTACCCCCGGCAAGAAGATGGCGGCGCAAGGGCAGAAAGCCCTAAAAGCGAAACAGACCCAGAAAAACGGACGGGAAGACTGACAAACTTTGAAAAAAGACTTTTTAATAATTACTATGAGAAATATTTGGATATGATATCATTTGTTATCTATGATCTATAACAACATCATCAGATGATATCCAAGATGTCACAGT